CTGCTCTGACCGGGATCACAATAGAGGGTCCTGGACAGAGCCAGAAAAGGATGTAAACAGAATTCTAACTCACAAAAAAAAGACCAGATTTACTGGTCTGACAGACTGGAGAAACCCTGAGAGTATGGCTCCCGGACACCCTTGTAGCTCAGTGATAAAGCCCCTCTCGAAGTTCACTGTTCAGCTGGGGATTGGACAGCCTCATAAAACAAAACAGGACTAATGAGGCACAGCAGTCCAGGGGCAAGGACTAAAAGGCAGGAGGGGACAGGAAAGCTGGTGATAGGGAACCTAAGGTTGAGAAGAGACAGTGTTGACATGTCATGGGGTTGTTAACCATTGTCATAAGGCAATATGTGTACTAACTGTTTAATGAAAAACTATTTGTTCTGTAAACCATCTCAGGTACAAAATAAAAAAAATTATGTGAGATCAAATTGACACAGCAACTCAAAAGGTTTGATAGGAAGCCTAGGGGACAGTGAGTTGAAGATAATGGTGATGGAATAATTTGGAAAAGGATAGTGAGAATAGCAGCACAACTGGAAGAATGTAATTGATGTCACTGAATTGTACATGTAGAAACTTTCGAAATGGTGTAACTTTGACTATGTATATTTTCACCAAAGGAAAGGTCCTCAAGGTCGAGAAGGGAAAGTGTTGACATGTCATGGGGTTGTTCATCAATGTCATAAAACAATATGTGTACTGACTGTTTAATGAGAAACTATTTGTTCTGTAAACCTGTATCTAAAGTACAATAAAAATATTGAAAAAGAGAAAATATTCTATATTCTGCTTTGGTGAGTAGTGTCTGGGGTCTTACAAGCCTGTGAACAGCCATCAAAGATACTCCACTGATCTCACCCCTTTGGGAGCAAGGGAGAATGAAGAAAACTAAAGACAGAAGGGAAAGATTAGTCCAAAGGACTAATGGACCACAACTACCATGGCCTCCATCAGACTGAGTCCAGTACAACTAGATGGTACCCAGCTACAACCACTGACTGCTCTGACAGGGATCACAATAGAGGGTCCCGGACAGAGCTGGAGAAAAATGTGGAACAAAATTCTAACTCAAAAAAAGACCAGACTACAACAAAAAGACAAATAATCCTATTAAAAAATGGGCAAAGGAAATGAACAGACACTTCACTAAAGAAGACATTCAAGTGGCCAACAGACACATGAGGAAATGCTTGCGATCACTAGCCATTAGAGAAATGCAAATTAAAACCACAATGAGATACCATCTCACCCCGGCATTACTGGCACGAT